AGAGAGAGAGAGAGAGAGAGAGAGAGAGAGAGAGAGAGACAGGGAGGGAGAGAGAGATAGAGAGAGAGAGAGAGAGAGAGAGAGAGGGGGGGGGGGGGGGGGGGCATGCAGTGGATCCGACAATCCAGTAGTACATAGCATTTTTCATTCTCGTTCGTACGACAGAAAAGAAAGAAAATCTGGATCTGCACTAACAATAGACCTAAGAAACTTTATCAAGCAAATAATTGCATCAGATACTTTAATAGGCGTCCCAATTTATTTTTTGACTGTGTTAACAACACGAGTCTGGACTCTTCATACTAGATCTAGGCCCTAGGCCTACACAATGAAAGGCTTTGGGCAGGGGGAAAAAAGGATGGAGGGGGGGAGCTCAGTGAAAAGGAAATACTTGGGTCTAAAAAGTCTCGTTTTCTTTATACTGTCGAATGAACTAAGACACAACGTGAGGTCAGTGATTATAAAACATTACCAAAATTGATTAACTTTTTGAACTAAAGTTTAAACATCTCTTGGCGATGTATCTCCCTGTCTCGTACATTTCAAACAATGAAGAGAGGGAGCCAAAAGCTCAAGGCGAAAATGCGTGACATCACGACTCTGCGCGATGTCACGGTGGAAGGGTTCAGCTAGGTTTTCGCGGGTTTGGTTGATAAAAGGGTAAGACTACACTAGCCAAAGTAAGACTTCTACGATAACCATTTAAACGTTTTCTGGAAGAACAAAGAATGGTTTACCAACAAGGGTAGTTTGAAAAAAATATCAAAAATCAATGGTTAAAAATTGTCTATTTTTCAACTTGAAATATTTCGAGACTCATTAGTCGCACATCGACCTGGAAAGAAGCGTTTTGAAGGCCATCCACAGGTGTTTAAAGACATGTATCGGACTTGAACGTTGGTCCCCTAAATTAAACAAAAATATGGGCAGTTTGAACCCACTGTCGCGATGAGACGTCATGTCCGGAAACAAAACCCTATGGGACTTTCCGAAGCCAAATGACGCCATAGTGAGCGCGTTCACTGAAGTGCCTATATTTAACCAATAGTAACCAGATGTAGCACTCACATTTAAGTATATGTAGAGAATGGTAACCAGATATTATTAGAGGAATATCATTCGGTAGCTACAAGACCACATGTATGTGCCATCATTCGTATCTGTTCCTTGTGTCCATTATTATTATTTCCCTTATTTGGCAATCGTATTCATCTGCTTTATTTCTGTTCCGTTTCTGTCCCAGTCATGCATCGTCTGACGTATGTCTTCATTGTGCTTGATTATTAAAAGTCTACGTCAAGTCACAAAGAGTGTTGACATTTATTTATGAAGACATAAGAGATACATCATGACCACCATCCCTTGCCCTGCCCCGGGCTGCGACGTGGAGTGGCCTGCATCTACGCCGACCGAGGTGTTGACACGCCTCATTGACATCCACGCCACCACAGCCCATGCAACACGAGCGAATGCACCGACTGCGGCAGCCAAGGCTGAGAAAGTGCGACGCCCTGTCGTGTCTGCATCCGGAACGAGCGAGGCGTGGTCATACTTCACCCAACGGTGGGCCGACTACAAACAAGCGACTCGCCTCACTGGTGCAGACATCGTCTTCCAGCTTCTCGAGTGCTGCGATGAGTCGCTACGAAAGGATCTCACTAGGACATTCGGCGCCCTAGCCTCCAGCGGAGAGGACACTGTCTTAAAGAACATCAAGAGCCTGGCGGTGCGCCAGGAAAACATCATGGTAGCACGGGTACAGCTACATCAAATGAAGCAAGACCGGGACGAGCCTGTCAGAGCCTTCGCCGCCCGCCACAGGGGCCAGGCTGGGGTTTGCAACTTCAAGATAAAATGCCCTAGGTGTCCTCCAGATGTCCACGAACCCAGCGTGGACTATAGCGATATGATGATTCGTGACGTCCTCATCCGAGGTCTAATTGATGAGGAGATCCGACTCGACATCTTAGGTGAGTAAAAGCAGGACATGTCCCTCGAGGATGCACTCTGCTACGTGGAGGCGAAGGAGAGTGGCAAGAGGTCAGCCAGTCGCCTCGTTGAAAGCTGCTCCTACACCACGGCAGCGGCCACAAGCTCCTACAAGCGCAGTGAGAAGCTCGGCACACAGGGCAACTTGTTCCACAGTAAGGGCCAAGCGTTCCCCTGCAATTACTGCGGAAAACTGGACCATGGGAATGGTAGACAGGAACGTATGAAGAAGTGTCCAGCATTTGGTAAAAGATGCACCAGGTGTGGCCTATCCAATCATTTCGCCAACCTCTGCCGACAGTCGTCACGGAATCGCAACCCCTCCAATGCCCTGGATGACTCTGCTGCCGCCTTTGACAGTCTATGCGGTGCAGATTCCGCCACACCAGTGTCTAATGCGCACTCTGTATCCCTAGACCATCATGTATACAACGAGTTTTGCAGGGCATGGGAGAAGCGAGCATCCGACCCTCAGCCTTTTGTGAATGTCACCGTCCAGGCAGTGCCTTCAGACGCCCAATCTCTCGGCTTCCCGCCATCTCTGAGAGGCAGCACCTCTCCCGTCAAGTACCAAGCTATGGCAGACACTGGGTGCCAGTCGTGCCTGGCGGGCGTAGCACTCTTGACTAGGATGAGCCTCACTCGCCGCCATCTCCTCCCTGTCAACATGAAGATGACAGCTGCGAATCGTGGGGCCATTGACATCATCGGAGCCCTTCCCCTTCGTATTTCTGGTACATCTCCGTCCAACACCAAGCTGGTGACTCACCAGATGGTGTACTTCACCACATCCACTGGTCGGGTGTTCCTAAGCAAGCAAGCCTGTGTGGCTTTGGGAATAATCCCTCCTAGCTTTCCGACCATTGGCGCCACCAGTGCAGCAATCAATTCGAAGGACAAGCCGGCTTGCGGGTGCTCACACCGCCAACCACCGTCGGTAGTCGATTCACATCAGGAGCCGAGTCCCGCTATGCGCCCATAGAAGGTGAAGCCCTGGCTGTGGTTGATGCACTAGACAAAGCACGCCATTTCACCTTGGGTTGTTCCGACCTGATCGTGGCGGTGGACCACAAACCTCTTTTGAAGACGTTTGGGGACCGGTGTCTCGACGATATCCCCAATCCCCGCCTCAGGAACCTCAAGCAGAAGTCCCTTAGATATCGCTTCCGCATCGTCCACATCCCCGGTCTACGCCATGCTGCAGCAGATGCCGTCTCCCGCAGACCAGTGGGCAGCCCTAACACTCTCAGACTCCCTGATGATGCCGCTCCCATTCTGCTCCTTGATGACCCTCCCTTGACACCTGAACTGCCACACGACTTTCTTTCTGCCATCCGCACCCAGGAACTGGATGACACCAACCAGGTATGCTCCAAACCTGACCTCGCTCCAACTGAGGTGATCAAGTCAGTGACTTGGGACGAGATTCGACTTGCAACATCCAGCGACTCTACAATGACTGCTTTGAGTAACACTATTGAGGATGGGTTCCCTGAAGACAGGGCTTCTCTGTCCCCTGATCTTCGCCCATACCATCAATTCCGGGAGTTCCTCACGACATTTGATGGTGTCATCCTGTACCACGACCGGGTAGTCATCCCCCCGTCGCTCCGTGAGCGAGTCCTCCAGTCCTTACACTCTGCTCACCAGGGTGTGTCCCAAATGTGCTCTCGAGCTGAGGCCTCGTTGTTTTGGCCCGGCATGACCCCGGCCATCACTGAAGTGCGGGCCCGCTGTCAGTCATGCAACCGCATGGCACCTTCCCAGCCGAGTGCACCTCCCACCCCTCCAATAGCACCAGCATACCCGTTCCAATGCATTGCGGCGGATTATTTTCATCATCGAGGCCACAGCTACCTAGTTGCAGTCGACAGGTACAGTAACTGGCCTATCGTTGAAGAAGCCTCCCATGGATCTGCCGGCCTCGTTGCCGCGTTGCGTCGCATCTTCGTCACGTATGGCATGAGTGATGAACTGACATCGGACGGAGGCCCAGAGTTCACGTCCCTGGCAACCTCAACCTTCCTTCGCAACTGGGGTGTCCACCACAGGGTCTCTTCAGTCGCCTTTCCCCACTCTAATTGTCGCGCTGAAGTTGGAGTAAAGACAGTGAAACGGTTGATCACTGACAACACAGGTGCACAAGGATCTTTAAACACTGACAAGTTCCAGCGCGCAATGCTGCAATACAGGAACACTCCTGATCGTGACACCCACCTATCCCCAGCGATGTGTATCTTTGGACGTCCAATACGGGACTTCATCCCCATCCACCCAGGGAAGTATCAGCCTCACAGTACCTGGTGTGAAACCCTTCTGTCGCGAGAGGAGGCACTGAGGAACCGGCACATGCGCACCGCTGAGCGCCTCTCTCAGCACACTCGCATCTTACCTCCACTCGTCGTCGGTGACTGTGTGCGCATACAGAACCAAACGGGAACCCACCCGACCAAATGGGACAAGACGGCATTGTAGTCGAAGTACGTCAATTTGACCAGTACGTCGTTCGAGTGGATGGCTCTGGCCGCGTCACTCTTCGGAACAGAAAGTTCCTCCGCAACTACATGCCAGTGGTCCCACGCTCACCACTGACAATGATCCCGGGTGGCACCTCACCACCACAGCCGGTGCCTCAGAATGTTCACACCCCCGGGCATGCCAAGCCCAGCGTGACCTCGCTGCCCTCTCCTTGCCCGGATCTACCACAACCAGCTGACGTTCCGGACCCCCCAGCGCATGATCCATCGATGCCCACTGTCCCCGAATCCAGGCAAGAACTAGCACCTGATCCACGCCCTGCTGTCGAGACGGTGGTTCCACAACCTCAGGCTCAAGCCACCCAGCGTGCTCTACGTTCGCTCCAGCCGCACAACGCCCCTGGCATACAAGAGCAAGATGCTCCCATAGGCGTGAGCACGCCTCCAGGCGGCCCTCGGCGATCGGCGAGACTGTTGGCCAGACAGAGCCCCAAGCCAATTGACTCTAAATCTTATTCTGATTCAGATCATTGATCAATCATTTATTCCTTGTTGTATCACCATTATTTCTTGACATTTCATCAGTCTTTTCTGTTCTACTCCAAAGACTTGGGGGGCGTAGAGGAATATCATTCGGTAGCTACAAGACCACATGTATGTGCCATCATTTGTATCTGTTCCTTGTGTCCATTATTATTATTTCCCTTATTTGTCAATCGTATTCATCTGCTTTATTTCTGTTCCGTTTCTGTCCCAGTCATGCATCGTCTAACGTATGTCTTCATTGTGCTTGATTATTAAAAGTCTACGTCAAGTCACAAAGAGTGTTGACATTTATTTAATTATAGCACTCCCATTTAAGTGTGCTAATGAGTAACCAAATATAGACTCACATTTAGGTGTATGTAGCAAATGGTATAACACTCACAAGCCAGTACACTTTAAGAAAAGACAAGTCAGGACACAAAGTTCCAATGCACAATTTATTGGTAAGACGTCTACCTCTATAAATGTTGAAATCAAATCGTTAACGAGCGACCAGAATAGACAGGAATATATTATTAATGATGGCGACTTCACTTTTATTAATATGGACTTGTTATGAAAATTCCACAAATAAATAGAGTCATCTCAGGATGAGAAAGTTTTTGTCTTCAACAGCAGAAATTTCCTCCTACTGGAGGAGCTTCAGATATCGTAAGTGAGACAGGGGGAAATATTGATCTCATCAGAATATTATTTATTTCTAACGTAATCAGTTTTACTAACGGGCATGTCTAATTGGTCTGAGTAAACGGTTAATTGTCTTTAATTGCGAGGCATTCTTGTTAACCGAATTATATTGAAATACTAATTCGTAGCTGGAGTTGTCAAAAGGTTATCGGGGTCATACTCGCACACGTAGGGTTTGACTTGTTCCAAAAAAAATCCTTGGCAGGGATAATCGATCCAGGTTCCGTTGACAGGGTCGATTGTGGCGCAAGCGTCCAACCCGCCACCAAATCTCTCGCCTTCATTAGGTGCCCAGTTTTCATAATTCACACTGCTGCCGTCGGCCCACGTGAATTTCTCCCCAGGATTGGCGTCGTCAAGACCAATCCATGTGTCATATGGCTCCTTGTAGGTTTCATGAAGCTCTTTTTGAATGTAGTCGTTAATATCTTTTGACTTGATTTGAACGAGTAGCCGGCATTCGCCAGACAGTTGCTCTCGGCATGCCAGAAGTAACGATATGTTGTCACTGCGAACTCGTAACACAGGCCTTTGCGAAACTGCAAGAACTTGTTCCGTGGTATCCCCGATGGACAGTCATCGATACTTTTGGTATTTCCTAAGAGAAAGATAAAAGTGTCTTAGATTATTAACGATCTGAGAACAAGTATGGAGATTTGTTTTAGTATTCAAGATATGAATTTTGTTCGCATATAGATTAAAATAAAATATTGGAGATTTTAAAAAGCACCCCCTTTTGCTTGAGTATAACAACCTAGTCTTTTGTGTCTTTGCGATTTTCCTTTAGGAGAAGCCTAAAAAGTAGGCCATGTTATAAAAAGAACAATTTGGTACTTTAATCAGTGTTCACAGTATATCTGTACCAACATTTTTCAAAAAGAAACCTCACAAATTGTTCTGACCATGTGGCTCATCTTTTTACACTCGTTTATTAACTGAAGTTGTAGTCTTGGATTATTAAAACAGCAGTAACAGTAACATTTGATCATTCTCACCCCAAAAAGATGGTTGATTTAACTCAACATTGGAAAAATCGAGACATCAGAACGTTTCTCACATTCTAGCTGTTTCCAGGTCATTCAGTGTCAAGGGAAAAAAACAGAAAACCAGACTTTGGATGTCTTAGCAATTGCACAAACGCGCTGAGCAAGCTCGGGCCTCGAATTTTCTAATGTTAAGTTGAACCTACCGTCTTTCTTGAGTGACAATGATCATAATATTTTCTTATTGCGATTTGTTTGTTTATTGTTTTTATATTAAACAAAGACCTGGGCTTCATGTTAAAAACAAAAAATAGTTTTAAGAACCCACACGTGGTCCGGAAAAAACGCAACTTTTCTTTATATTAATGCTTAATGGAACTCTAACGAAAGCATCAAAATGTTATTTTCATAACATTACTTACTATTTAGACTACTTAGTATCATTCACGTGAAATGAAAAGCATTAAGACTCAAAACAGTAGGTTGTTTTATGCAATCAAAAAATGGTGCCTTTTTCTCGATGAGGTTTGTCTGATTATTTAATTACATCCCTCGGGTAAACATTAAGAAATGTTTTTCACCAAAAATAGTAACTTTAAAAGTTCTACGCTCTTATTGACACATTTCAGATTATTTAGGAGACAAGGAGAAGAGCTGTTTCTATTTTCAAGTTTTAAAATTAGACTGTGTTCGCAATTACTTAACTATAGTTGCAGCCAGGACCTTAGTAACAACACTGATTTGTTTTAAAAATTGGATTACTTTAATGCTATTTTATTCGGTTTGAAGGCCAGAAAACTTTCAAAGATACAAGTCCTCCAAAGTCAAGCGGCAAAATGGATAAGAAAAGAAAAGAAATCAGAGCATGTAACACTTATTCTGAAAGAACTCCATTAGTTGCAAGTAAAACAATAGATCAAAAATAAAATTGCTGTTTTCTGTTTTAGATGTCTAAATTATATTCCAATCCATCTAAAAATATATTCCCAGAATTATATCATCCATCCAGAGCTCATAGACCAGCCACTAACAAACTGATTCTTGGAGCCCAAAAACAAGGTCTTAATACATACGGCGAGCGTTTCTTTTCCTCCTTTGGTCCCCACGTATGGAATGAACTCCCATACAAAAAATAAAGAGTGCCCGTAATGTTCAATTTTTAAAAACCACTTAAACATTACTTATTCTCAAAAACATGCTTTTTCTGACGAAAAACTGTTGCTTTTTCTGGTACCTGCCTGAGCATCCCTGACAGTGAGGCTGAAGAAATGCCTAGTAAGACACACACACACACACACAGAGAGAGAGAGAGAGAGAGAGAGAGAGAGAGAGAGAGAGAGAGAGAGAGAGAGAGAGAGAGAGAGAGAGAGAATGTTATTCTTTTTACATGAATGGAGAACGAACGTTTTACTCTGCCTTCAGCAATTCAAATTTCAGTTTTATTGTGTTCATTAGTGAGCTTTAATTGTATTCTACATTTTTAGTGCACGCATTGCCAGGCCCACAGCTTGACCAGTTTTCTCCTGGATTTTTCTACATACATAATATTATGTTTTACATATACATACATAATATTATGTTTTACAAACTCACCTGTCCTGTAATTTTAATGAGTAATATGCTTATGAATATAATGCGCATTGAGCTTTTTAATTAGAAAATGGAAATGCGCATTATAAATACCATTTATTATTAGTCATAATTCAACTCGTTAGTATACTCTGACTATATCAACCAATTTACCTATAAACTAGTAGACACACAATTACAAAATGTGACATTGCAACCTTATAATTACAAAGCTCTATCCACTCAGCACCTAGCTTTGAGAAATTTCACATCAAACATTTTGATTTTCTCAACATGTAAAGCTTTTTCGAATTAATTTCTCTGAATAGCTTAATAACGACTCCAAAAAATCGATAGAGTAGATGGACCATTACGAAGTAACTCAAAACGGCCAAAAAAGTCAGATAGAACTTAATAATTCTAAGGTAGGGACATGGCAATGCGTTTAAGAGATCCAAAGCAGGAATAATGCAATATCATTCTTGTTAACTACTCTTACCTAGTCCCAGCACTAGGAAAACAACGAGGGCAGAGCTAAAGGAAAGCATGGCGACTCGACTATCTGATGTTGTCCTTCAGAACGGACAAGTGATGCTACAGGGACTTTGCCTGGGTTATTTATTGTAAAATTCTTGAAAAGAATTTGCATTTTTTATAGTAGAAAGAGCGATTTCTATATTTAGAAGGTCAGATGAATAAAAGAAACAAAATCCACCTGCTGTTTCTCTATCTCATACGAGAAAGTTTGGAGAAAAAAACTATTGTTTTCTGTCACCGGTAACCTTTTTTTTTGTTCGTTATCATCTGTAGTACAATTTTCTTTCCACATCGTGATTTCAGTTATAATATTATTATGCTGAATCACGGATATGAGTTATTACAAATGACGGAAAGGGTAGGACAGACTGTCTGTCGATTGTGTGCATGGGTCGCGAGAAAAATTATTATGTTTTTCACAGTTATTTTTTTTTTTTAAACAAACAATTTGCAGTCAATGTCTTTTTTAATCAGTGTGGCATAATAGCTAAGTTACAGTATTCTTTTTTCCATTAGCCAGATTGGAGACAAAGGTCTGCTAAATAGACACATCTTATTTTGGGGAAAGATAACATAATTACAAGATTGTTTTAGACCTTGAAACAATTTTAATAATATATATTACTTACTGACTGTAAAGAAGGGAAATTTACTCTCAGTACAAAAATTTGCTATTGCCGCCTGTAAGTCAGAAAAAGTACTTTGTCACCCTGAGAAGCGTCTTTCCATGCATGACGCTACTACTTAGGAAATAAATGTCAAGTCAGCGGAAGGTACGAACTTATGGAGTTTTCCTATGTTTCACAGACTCAAACTGCGATGTATAATGGTACCAAAAGTTATTTTTACGAAAGCCATTTTCTCTTCTAAATGGACGACATTGTTTATCTTTTTTTATTGCACAGTTTCTATATTTAACTTTTCTTTTGATTATATGTATCCTCTCTCTTTCTTTCTCTCTCTCTCTCTCTCTCTCTCTCTCTCTCTCTCTCTCTCTCTCTCTCTTTCTCTCTCTCTCTCTCTCTCTCTCTCTCACTCTCTCACTCCCTCTCTCTCTTTCTTAATCGCTCTCTCCCTCACCCCCTCTCATAATCATTTCTTTATTTATCTATTCATTTGGGCAGGCAGGGTCAGGGCCCGTCTCCCAAATTATCTAAATTGTGTTGATGAGGGATTGAAACATTTACATAAAAATATATTTAACACATAGAC